CAGTGTCCTTCGTCAATCTGCCTTGTCCTGCTCCCCATTCTGTCTCGGGTGAATCCTCTTACCCCACCTGAACCTCTGGCCTGTACCCCAGTTCTTTATGCATAAATAAATAAATCTTCAACATAAAATAAAGCAAGTAGCTAGCTGCTATTTATATAAATGGGATTCTATGCATGTGCTCTTTTTTGTATGGTTTTCAGTCAGCACCATGTGTCAAGGGTCACTCATGGTAATTTCATGATACTGACGGTGTGTTCTTTTCTACTGTTTAGTATCCCACTGTCTGGACAGAGAAGTTGTTTACTGATGAATATTTGAATTATTTCCAATGTGGGGCTATTACACATTAATCTGCTATGAACAATTCCTGAACAAGCTCTGTACCGGAACGGGCTTTCATTTCTCATGTCAGTACCTAAAAGCAGCAAGATATAACTAGCAAGGTTGTGTGACAGGTGTATGTTTAACTTAAGAAACTGCCAAATTGTTTTCCAAAGTGATTGCTCCAACTCACATTTCCACCAGTAGTGTATGAGTTTTCCATATCCAACACCAGTTTTCCATATCCAACACTTAGTATGCTCGGTCTTCTTACTAGTAGATGTTTCTTGGTATTTCATCATGATTTTAAATTACTCTTTCCTAGTGATGTTAAACATATATTCATGTGCTTATTGCTACCTATCTCCTTTTTTTCCCAAAGGTTTACTTATTTATGCATACAGAACTGGGGTACAGGTCAGAGGTGCAGGGGTGGTGAGAGTGGGGAGCAGAACAGGCAGATCGATGTAGTACACTGCTGAGGGGAGCAGAGGTCAAGACAGGAGAGTCTGCCGCGCCATGTGGCTCATCTACCTGGCCAGGAAACGAACTTGTGCTGCAGTGACTGCTGGGAGATCCACAGTGGTATGCTTTAACCTGTTGTACCACCAGGAAGGGCCTTGCTATCTATCTTCTTTCGTGAAGTATCTTTTTAATTTTTTGCCTGGTCTCTTTAATTGGTTAGGTTTTTTCCTGGCACTGATTTTTTTTTTTTTTTTTTTTGTATACACTGTAGCTACAAGTCCTTTGCCAGATATATATTGATATTTTGCAAATATTTTTTTCCCTACTCTGTGGCTTGTAGTTTTATTCTCTTAACAGTGAATTTTTGAAAAGATTTATTTATTTATTTACCCAAAAACTGCAGTGAGGTGTGAGCCAGCGATATGTGGGTGAGAATATTCACCTGCGACAGAGTTGGGAGCAGAGGAAGTGGACTTACTGAAATACACTGCTGAAAGGGTAGTGGGTGAGATAGGAGAGGTCTGTGCCAGATAGCTCTCTGGGAGGGGTTCAAACTCAGGCCATCATGGTGATAGCACTGCTTAACCCCTACACGACAGGGAGCCCTTCTCAACAGTGTATTTTTAAAAACATCTTATTCATGTTGATGAAGCCAAATTTGTCCAGCTTTTTTTTATTATAGTATATGTTTTAGGCGTTGTATTTAAAAAGCTTTACCTCACTCAAGACAACAAGAATCTTTCCCAATATTTTCTTCTAGTAGTTTCAGGTTTTATAATCTATTTTGAGTTCATTTTTTATGGGTGCAAGGTATACATCAAAGATTTTTTTATTTTAATTATTTTTACAAGATATTATTTTCTGGCCCTCCCTGGTAGT